ATCTTGTAGTGTTTCCATTAAGGTTTATTAAGGACTGACGGAGGCAAAAAGTAGCTCAGAAAGAAAATAAATAATTAAAACCCTACCAGTTTAGAACATGGCTACCCACTGAGGCTTCTCTGGTTTTCATAGTGGTTCAGCTATTTAGGATGGTACTGCAGCCAGGGTGCTGCTTACACGTTGATTTTGGAAGCATGTTAGAAACTTCCAGTTCTTGGCAAGTGGCTTGCAAGGAGCCTGTTAAACTGAAACAGGTGCTGTTTTGGCTTTTCTCCTCGTCTGCTAAAACCATCTTTTCCTTCATTCCATCCCGTGCAAACAGAAGAAGTCGCAGCAGAGACTCGGCTGGGATGGAGCCTCAGGAAGACACCTCTCAGCTGCATGGAAGCAAGAGCCCAGTGGCTTCCTCGGTTTGTTCAGTCCTAAAAAAGAGCTGTAATGGAAATACGCGTGTAGGATTGCAGTTAAGGGTGGTATGGAATAGCTGTCGGATGTGTAAGCTGGGCCGCACCTGAGCTGCGGTGGATTCTCGTGCTGGGACTGACCTTACGCCTCTCTTGGACTTCAACGCCACCAAGAGTTTATACATATAAAAATATATATATGTTATATATGTTTTTTATATATTTATATTCTTTTAGATTTATTTAGGTGTCTGTTTTTTACAGCTTAAAACAAGCATGGTTTTTTTTCTGTTTGAGAAGTATGTAGCTTTAATTAAGCATCACATTGTAAAGCTGGGTAGATGGGTCAGCCGCTTGCAGCTGAACATCCATTTAATGTCACCACGAATTTCAGACAGGCATCTACCTTACTGCACGTGGGGCAGAGGCTGGCATGTTCATGCAAGCAAAACAGTTGCCATTTAAAAAAAAAAAAAAAAACCAACCTGCAAACCCTACGGTAACGATTGCTTGTTGACCAAGTGAAAATACAAAAATCCTTTGCGTTGAATTTTTTGAGATGCCAGGCAGCACCCAACACTATTCACTAATGGAAACAAGTGCAGTGACGGTCTCCGATGAAAGCGTAAGTGATCTAAATAAGGCTACTGCATGTTAAATAAATGCTTCTCGTTATTTGTGCCACACTGCCAAAAAAGGTGTTGGTATTTTTTAAGGAAAGATAATGATATTCTCCAGGGCAAAAGTAAAGCAGGGGCATTTCTTATACCTTCTGCTTAGCTTCTTGCATTTTTTGATGAATATGCTTGGTTTATTTTCCTGTACAAAAGTAAAAATGGCACCGTGTTGAATCAGAGGTTTAAGATGTAAGCTCTCCGTAGGTAGAGCACAGAACAAGTGGCCACTTGGCCGTCACCTTGTGTGCTGCTGGCTCTGTGCCACAAGTGGCTCTGCTGCCCGGAGTGGCTCCCTTCCTTGGGAATCACCGAGGGCAGGACAGAAGATAAGAGGGTCCCCTTTTCCTTGTTTTTCATTGCTAAAGATTAGGCACCAGCAGTTGATAGGACTCTCAGATGGATATTGCTCTCTAATGGCATACAACTCTTTTCCTGTCCGTCTTGACGGTGGAGATGCTGAAGGATCAGTGCGTGGTGTAGGGTGTTCAGAAACCTTCCAAGAAGCCTAACAATTTCACAGGAGGGGGGAGATTTCCCACGATGTAACTCATCTCCTCTCTTTTTCTTCTTATGAATGTTTTGAGACCACTTTTGCCTTGCTTTTTGAAACGTACGTGTGGTTTAGTTGGACCAAAGTGTGGCTTTGAAGCCTGAGGAAAATCCTTTAAAAGGCAGCTGGTGTTTTAAGTTGAATTTTTAATGACTAGGTAGTTTGTAGAAGGAGTGCTGCTATGCAACTTCGGAAGGAGAAAGGGGAGGAGGGGAAGGAGGACCAGTAGAAGACACCCATGCACACGTTATGGTCATTCTTCTTTATTAATGCTGTCAAATTCCCAGGAATAGTTGTTAGCATTTCTAGCCAAGCAAAATTAATACCTAGATTTTTTTTTTAAGTTTTCTGCCAATTTGAAGCTCTCAGCGTATATGTTGGCGAATCGACTTTGTAACCTACAGGAAAAGAAGTCAGAGCATTCTTCGAAAGCCAAGCATTTTTTGTCTTGCAGAGTTTTTGCTTTCTTGACCAAGGTGGAGGTGGCCATGGAGGTGGCGGGTGGTGTGAAAGTGTCTGCTGTTGAAGTGATGGGAGAATGGTCTCATCAAAACCATCTAGAGATGTTCATTTTCGAGGCACTGTTCTTAAAAGCAGTAATTAAAATATTTTAAAAATTAAGACTTAATAAGACTTATTATTAAGACCTGGTGGAAGTGAGGAACGTGTATGAGATGGCAGGGGAAATGTATCCATGCGTTGGGATGGCTGAGCCTTGCTACAGTACGCAGCAGGTTCCTGCAGCCCTCCCGGCTGCCCAGATGGGCTGTAATTCACGTTGTCTTTAAAGAGATAGATGGACCTTTACTTGTTCCTTACACGAAACAGGGAGCTAATGGCCCGATGGTTACCTCGAGGCAGCCTTGGTAGCACTGCACCTCACTGGCGTTGGTGTCCTGCTTCCCACCTGGTTTTGGGGGGAGAACTGTGGTAGTTTGGTGCCTTTCTGGAGTGGGAGGAGGTTACGGTGCCTATCTGGCAGCGTCGGGCTGGGAGCCCAGCCCGCTGGGGGCTGCTGGCTTGCGGAGCAGCGAGGAGACGAAGCCTTTCAGTTTTATGATGATATTACAGTCCAAATCATTTCCAGACTCCCGAGAATGTGAAACAAGATGATGCGAAAAACATAAGGTTACTGTAGTTTTGAGTGCTTCCTATGCTCTTCTGGATAAATGGAGCAGAAAAGTCTACCAACTTCTCTTTGAGATTTCAAAGGCGTTATTCTATTCCGCCGTTATTATATTGCCGTAGCTCTAACAATCCACAGTAAAACCAAGCCATATTCTGCTGAGCGTTGTACATGTGTGGAATAACGGATCATCGGTGGTGTTGAGAGCTCGGTTTGAGGTCCATGTTGTAGGAATTCATGCAGAAGAGTTTATGCCCAGATTCTCAGACCTCTTTTTTTTTTTTTAGCATAGAGATTATTAAATGGCAAAATAACATAAAATAGGCATCGATTTTATGAAGCTAATCGATACTACTTCTCACACACACACATAAAAAAAAAAATCTGAAGTGTTAATTTGGTAAATAAATGGAAAGAGAGAACTAAAATTTCTAGCAAAGTGGATCCAAAGCTGACTCTTCATTTTTGTTTTGCCTCTGCTCCAAGCCACCAACTCGCATTCTTGGGCAACTGGAGCATTTTAATGGTCTGCCTCTGTGTCCACCACCTTCTCTGCCACTTTCTAATCAGTAATTATGTGGCCTTCAGTGGTTAACGATTAATGAGAAAATGAATTGGGGCTGGGGGGGATGGCAGGGCTGTTCGATCGTGCAACAGGCGAGTGAGGGCTTCGCTTCTGAGAGGAGCCCTGAGCCACCTCAGAGCCCCTGGAGGCAGAGCCGGGGCCGGCGTCTGGCTGCACCCACGTCCCATTGTGTTGGGCTCCGTGGGCCGTGGTGGGTCGAGTGTGGGAAGGTGTTCGGTCTTTTTGCAAAGGTGCCTGGTGGCAAAAGCAGACCTGGTGCCCTTCATGCCAGGATGGGTGTGTCACGCGTTTCAGTTTCTTCGGTTTCCTGCCAGGAGGGAACTAACAAAATATTTCCACTTGCTTGCATCATGCTCGGGCGTACGATAGAATTTGGGTTGGTTTGCTCTTTCCCCATACCTCAGTGGCAGAATCGCTCTGGTTTTCTCTTTTTTTTTTTTTTTTTTTTTCTCCCCTGTCTCAGGTTCTCGTGTATTTTGATATTTCTGCAATTTTCTCTCCTTTCTCCTGCATTGCGACACATCCAACCCCTCACCAGAAGACTATGCTGTTGAGTTTTAGCAACACACTACTGAGGAACTTCTTGTTCCAGGGTCTGGCTGTATTTCCAGCTGGGGGAAAAAAAGCTGCAACTGTCAGAAAACCTTAGGATGGCTCCTCGGTGGCACTTAGGATTCTGGATCTGAGAAGGCTGCTGGCAGGGCTCACTCTTTTGGCAGTCGCCTTTGATGTTTGTCTCCTTACCAACCTCCCTGCCGTCTCTCTCGGGCACGTTGCTCACGGACTCCGTTTGTTTATCGGTACCCTGAAACGGGTCTCTGCAGTTTTGAGAGGCGCCCACCACACCGCGACCCCATAAAGCGCCAGGAGAGCACCACCACCCCTTCGCCGGCGCTGCTTCGCCTTGCTGGAAGCACGTGGGTTGGGAAACGTGGCTGGCTCTTTGCAAAATCCGGGGCTCACAGTTTCATCGCTCTCGTACACACGTTGCTCTTGGAGGGGAAAAGAAGGAAAAAGTAGCGAGGGAAGAAGTACGTTTTTGTTTGCAGGTGCTTTCTGTTTGCTTGCTTTGCTCTTCGGTATCCTGCAAGCACGAGCTGCCATTGAAAATCAAATGAATTCTCAATTGCTTCCTTCCAATTCAATAAGTGGAGGAAAGCAGAAACCTGCCACCGTCACTGGAAGGAAACGGGGCAGAGGAAGGCATGGGTTTGGCAGAAAGCTGTTTCTTTTCCTTCTTTCCCTGGGGAAGGTCCCTGGGGAGACAGGACTGCACCCCTGGGGGACGTGGAGGAGGAGCCTCACCTCCGTCCACCCTAGAGGCACAGGGATGCGGCCTCTACCATGGTCTTGGCTGCTTTTCTTGCTCCCTGATGTTTCCCACTTACGCTCGGCATTTTCCTCTCGCCAGTCTCTTAGGATTTTTTTTACAGGTGTAAGCAACCTTGTGTCATCCTCGCATTCCTAGAGGTGACAAGGACGCGTTTTTGTATTGCTGTTAGGAATCTTTTCACCTTTATCAGAGCAGAACGAAGATGGAGTCTGACTCCAGATCGAATGCTTTTCCGATGATGTATTTTTCTGCTTATGTAGGTAGTATGAATATTCATTTTTATCATTTCTATCATTATAATGCTACAATTCTCTCTCGCAACAGGGCAGAGTCCTTGGCCGCGTGCGAGGTGTGCGAAGGCGCGGAGGAGATGACGGAGCCGCTGAAGCAGTGCACGGCCTGGCTGCACGCCTACTTCTGCGAGCCGGCGAGGACGGCGAGCCTTCCCGTGCCAGCCTTCCACCACCCGCTGCTCCAGCGAGGTCCGTGCCACCGGGTACCCATCCCCTCCCTGCTCCCATCAGCCAGGGCGGCAGTGCCTCCCGTCTCCCTAATTCTTGGTCAATGGCACTAAAAATGATGCAGTTCAGGTCCTGACAGCTGCTGGCTGGAAGGTTTGGGCATGAACCCATGTGAAGGGCGGTGAGCTCCCCAGTAAGGTCGTTGTTCACTTACATTAGCTTTTTGCCAGCAGTAGCGGGGTTGAGGTTTGGACGTGTCCATGTCAATAGACTTGGGCCACAGAAGCAGTCGGTGATAGGTTGCCTAAGGTAGCTATGGTTTTATTCCTCAAAGTTATGATAGATAATGTTTTGATTTGATAATATTTTGATTTTCTTAAACAAAGAACGAGTATTGTTACGACGTAGTTACGGTGCTCCTGTATTTAGATAAAATCAAGAAAAACTTCCCCTTACCATTCTCCATTTACTGGCTGCGTTCCTGAAGGCCTCGTAACAGAAGTCAATCGCTTGGAATGAAAGAGATCTCATTATTTAAAAAAAAAAATAAAAAAAATAAAAAAAATCTCAGAAGCCTGCTTTTTGCAGTGCCTTCTGGTCTGTCCATGAATGCCATCATTTCCCAGCGAGTCAGATCTTCAGTTTAATAGATCTGGTTTTTAATTGTCTGATATTCCATAATAATATAGCATGGAAAAGGGGCGACTATACGGGAGGTAAGGCAGCACTGGGCTTTGTATAAACTCTAAAATATATGTACTTTTTCTCTTTTTTCTTTTTTTTGTTTTTTTGTGGTTGAAAGTTGGCTAACACCTTTTAACTACGGGTGCATACATTTTTATTCCAAGGCAGAAGGACATCGGTGCCTGTGTCAAACAATATCCAGTTCTACCTGTGGAAAGGCAGGGCTGTTTTGGTAGGCACGCCCTTGCGAGTAGAAGCTGTCTCCACTGCTAATTGCTGGTTTTATTCAAATTCCTATAAATAGTAGGTTTCTTCTTGCCGTTACACTTTCTTATGCGTAATTAGCTAATGGCAGCTGCAAGTAGAACAACGAAATCAAAATGCAGTTGTTGTGGGGAGCCTTCTGCGGATCCTCAGGCTGGTGCGTTCCGAAGGTGGGAGTCTCATGTTTTGTGAGCGTTGCGCAGTATCTTTGCTTTAATGATGAACTTCTGCACTTAACCCTTCCGTGTCAGGGAAATTCTCAGTGCGACACCTTTCGTAGTCAAATTACAGGGTGGGTACTGGGTATTTTTTAAACTAAGTTGTGTATTGTGCTGTCTCCCTCTGGTTTTTTATACAAACATCATTTTTATCAACTACTAAAAAATGTCATTTAGAGGTTTTAGTGAAACTGTCCGATCAGCACGTGGGAGAACAAGCCCTAATGACACGATGGTGTCATAATTGCCAAAGTGCTCATGAAGTACGGCCGTCTAGGTGATTAAGTTATCATTTCAGGACTCTTTTTAATTAGCTGGGATGAAATTAAGACCTGTGGCATGAAAACGTTAGGCTTGGGGTGAACATGAACGGGCAAAGCTGGATGGGAAATAGTTGCTGCTGCTGTTCCTTCCATCTCTGAATAACATCAGGGGAATTCTGCTTCCCAGATTATCCACCAGAAGATTATAAAACATTTAAAGTCATGCTTTTACTTTTATTAATTTTCCTAAATTGGCTACTGAATTCTTCTTAGCTTGGCTAATGAAAATTTTTTGTCTAAGCGCTGCTGATGTCAGTTTAGCTGTTGTTTTGGGGTTCAATCCTGAGCAGTCTCGCCTTGACTTAGGGTCAGAGTTGGTGTAGGGGTCTTTGGTCCTTCCTCTGCAGGCATCGCTGGAAGAGACTGAAGGTCATTTAAAAGAGGAAAAATAAGTGTGTTTGCTAATAGGAGGCTCCTCGAGGGAAGGCAGTCATCACCCTCTGGTTTTTTGGGGTGTGGAAGGACTCTTCAGCGCCGTATCAGTGCAAAACCCAGTCAAGAGGTGCCTGCGGGGACAGGATGGGACGGGCCGTGGCCGGGAGCCTCGCTGGTGGGTCTCCCTGCAGCGCCCATGGCTTGGTGAAGGCTGTGGCTGGTGGTCCGGCTGGCCACGTGCTGGGCAGCCGTGGTCCTCATGGGGCCTGACCTTCTCTATCACAGGTTCGGTGCTGGGGACAGGGGGACTGGAGAGTGGTTTTCTCCTTATAACATGTGCAGGGCCAGGGTTTTTTAATTTAGTTCAATTATTTGTTCTTGGACTGACACCAGGTGTGCGTGTTTGGGGGGGGGGCATGTACATAATAGAAAAGCTAATGAAGAATTAATTGGCACAAATCGCAACAATGCGAAAGCATCTCTGTTCTTTGCTTTCTCCTGGTAATACTTTCATAAAGCAGAAAAAAATTATATTGGAAGAAATGGGGAAATACATGTGCAAAATTTTAAGAAACTATTTTAAAAAGTTATTTAGCAGAAAGGTAACGTAAAACCCGCGTTATAATGGATTCCAGCATACGTTTCAATTTATCTGTAAGTCAGAAATGCAGTAATGCTAAATCAGGAATTTGGTGTTTATTTACTTTTTCACATTTACATTTGAAAGTGCCTCCTCATTTCTCCAGGCACTCAAAAATGTAGAACAAACATAAGTGAGAGCATGAGGATCCAAAGCCGGGAAGGCTTTTTCTCATCACA